GCTTATCACCCAGAAGGATATTAAAGCTCAAGACTCAAGCACAATTTCTCCAGAGCTAATACGATATTCTTTGCCTGCATGGCCTGGCGAAGGTACAGTGGAGTACACAAACAGTTACTTTAGGCACGGCAGCAAGCAAAGTGATTCTGGTTTTGAGAGGTATATGGTTCTCTTAGAATGTTCTTTTCATTGTGTAACTAACACCTCTTCAGATGGACAAAGATTTGACCTCGGGCTGGAAATTACGGAAAAGAGCAAGCACCCAAGCGATACGAGAAAATGCAGAACCCAACAAAAGAACCGACAGATCTCAGGATCAAGATGACGACCAAATCAGGGCCCATCTATTGAACGAAATACGGGGTAAAAGCCAAACCAAGGAAGGATATGTTGAAAAAAAAGTTCGCCAACGTCTGAAACTCTACTGCTGCGGATGTGAGGAGGATGTTAGCGGTGGGGGGGAATGTCGACTATGTGGCCATACATCGTGTCCGGAGTGCTTGCACGAAAGGAGACTGCGTAGGGAAAGATCTGTTGACCGATCACACGAACCGAACCAAGCGAATAGACGTCATGATGCTCAGACAAACAACCAAACGCGCGCAGTGCCGGCGACCCTTAGCCAAGCTATCAAGATCGATGAAGACCCGGAAACAGAAACAGACTCTGTGCTCTATATGTTGCCTCATTCTAAACTGAAGCGGAAGCTGAGAGAGCAACAACAAAAACGACAGACCTGGGTTAATCGAGCCATCAAGTGCTGCTCCTGCGAAGTAACTGGCTCGGCGGTCAACAAATGCGCATGTGGGCATGAGTATTGCGGAATATGCTTTCATTATTCAGTTGACTAGTTGCAAACTTGCTGGTTACATTTTCACAGACTTTCGGATCAACAATTTTTCCGACAGCTTAAGCACACACAGAATGCCTTCATAAAAAGCTTCTCTAGATTTTGACCCTATCAGCTTTCAAGCCAGTTACAATATTTCAAGATGTAGAATGTATATTGCAATAGGTTAGGTGGCAGCACAGCTAATTATGCCTTTGTGTGTCTCGTTCACCGAGAGATAATCGAGGGGCCATGCAAATATCGGCTCCGGTTGGGCGAGGTGTATCCAGATGCTCTTAACATTCCAAAGGTGATAAGAAGTGGTTCTTGCCTCCGTTGACATCCCTTTAAAATATTTCCCACAAGCCAACCCGGCAGGTTTTGTCTTGCGGAGATGGTGAGTTCCACACCACCTGTCCATTCTCTCTGTGCTAAGAAATTTCAGGAGCCCAATTCCCTCGGCGCGAGACAGTCAACCACATCTTCAACCCGCCAGCGAAGATATCGCGATGGAAATTTCACTGGTTGTTCGACCTGCAAGGCATGTCAAATGTGATGAAGCAGCACCTGCCTGTCGCAACTGCATAAAAAGGGATTTGTACTGCGATGGTGCAAGACTCTACAGATTCGTTAACCCCGGTTCTGTAAAGGGAGAGTATAAAGCTTTCAGAGGGAAAACGGGTCATCAGCTCCAAATGACAGTGTCTCCAGCTCACACTCATCGCCATATAAGGATCCAACTTCCCCCTGCCTACGTTCCGTTACAAAGTGGGATCCACGCTTCCACGGAATCTCTTGCCATGGTGAGTCTATTCTTCACCAACTTAAGGAGAGCCAGCTGACGTAGGCAAGGATATTGAACCTATTAATCCCACCGCTGGTGACGGCAAGCCCCCGCTTCAATCTACTCTCAACGATGACGCTCGCGATCTCGAGTCCCATTCCTCCAGCTATAACCCGTACTCGATTGACGAAGCTGATTGGTACTCAGAATATCCCAATATCCGTGGTGATGTATGGAATTCCCCTGAAATTGACATCGCCAATGCTAATTCTGAATAGGTGTTTCATGGCAATGAAGAAGTACCCTTGACTTTCATTGTTTGCATCTCGGAGCCTGTACTTCAAGAGCAGCTAAAGTATTTGAAGGCTCATACTTCTCATCTACACTTTGTCTTTGGCGCATTCTCTGAGAATAGTTTTGACGGACCTCTGGCATTACCGTACGCGCTCTGTCTGTTCAAAATTCTCCGGCAACACCCAGGACAGCAACTGTCTGAGAAGAGGTTGGATGATACCATTCAATTCCTCTCCATACGGTTGAGAGGGCTTCTGTCAACACCTCTGTTTAATACCGGTCGAGGTCGCATAAGTCGTGTATCACTTCTATTTCGACGACAGGTGTTTCACAAGCGTCCACCTAGGCTCCTCTGGCCGGAAGAATCTTGGAAACGGAGCACTGTTTGGGGTTTCACCCTGGATGGCAACCTAACTGTGACATTGTTTCTTGATGGACAATACCGTTTCAAGGTGCCCGATGAGGTTTGGAGTGGTTTTAGCTCCTTGGATTCGGGTATTGCTGATGTGGCTGTCATCTTTGGCGTTGGCTAATGTATTTTATCACTTTCTCGGCCGGTCTGCTAAAGGTCAACTGTTTAAGAAAAGTAATGGTTGTGTCCCTGTCATCAAGCAAGTCCTTTCGAATCAGTGACTTTTCCAGAATCTCCACACCAGTCTCCTCATCTGGCGCGGGAATCAGTATCACAGAAGAGGACACTAGTTTCACTGCTAGTTTTCGATTGCGAGTGGTAAAGATAGCGCAGCCTTGTTCATTTTGAGGGAGAAAGTTCTTAAGGCTTGATGTCGTATTGCTGCCCTTAATCCACATGTCCATATCATCTGCATTATCGAAAATAACAAGCCACTTTCCGGCGCTCTTTTGGCTAAGATAAGCCTTTACTTGGTCTTTTGCCTCCGCTGGCTTCACATTCTGGATCCCTAGTATCTGTGTGATTTCCCTTGCTTCCACAAGTGATATCTATTGACTCTTGTCTTGCTGCATATTTCGATGGAGGATGGCCCCTGAAGCAAGAGCCATGCACCACTAGCCCGTTGCCTTGCAAATGCAGGCCGGCCATCCATGCTTGATTCCCACCGGAAGGAAGTTGCTCCTGTAGCTGCATGAGGAGGGGTATTGTCATTTCAGCCCGCCTGAGCTGTTTTGCCTTGTTATGCACAATCACCCTTTTACACAGTTTTGGCACCAGCGCTTTATTTCTGACCCGGGAACTACATACACCGCTGGCATGGGCTCCAGTTGCAACTGGCAGATCCTGTCCCTCTTGTCTCCTATTGCGCCTTATGCTTGCGCCCTATGCTTGCGCCTTGTTACATGCATGATGGCCCAGAGAGAGAAGTGAGTTGTCAAATTTTACCATGCCGCGTGGCGGCCGGTGCTGGTCCTAAGATTGTTTTGTAAGAAAGTGCAATTGCACCAGGCGCGGAGCTGAAAATCAGTTCGCAGCTGGGGTTTTCATCAGCAGCTCCAATGAGTGAGGTAAAATAGTAGAAAGATTGACGGATCTTCTCGTCCGGGGGGGGAGAGGCAAAATTAGCGCGCGTCTTTCTCCCACCGCTTTTAATTGGTGCGTAACTGCCACTTCCGAACTTGTGATTGGCTAAGAAGGCGGCGAGAAAAACGACACTAATTGTGCCTCACCCAAAACAAGGATCCCATCGTCTGCAGCAACTTTTTTCGGTGTGCCTCTGCCAGGATCCATGCACAGTACTGGCCCAAACGCCTCATTGCTGACCAGGAAAGTGGGCTGCTAAAAATGAGACTCATCCCATTTGCATCTTTTAGTTAATCATCTAATTGCGAGGCTCCGAGCAGCTATAAGAATAGCCATGTTCGTCCACACTCATGTAGCAAAATATAACTCGTTATCCACGGGAGCCTCGCAGGACCACGAAGAAGAGTACCAAGACTTTCACAAGAGCATATCATCAGCTTCAAATTGTCTTTCCATCATGGTAAGTTAGCACTTCTGTAAGTTTATTGGTGTTTAATGCTTATCTTATTCAGGAATCTCTCGATACTGTTGCTCAAGCGAGATGGGATATTGAACAAAATATTGCCAACCTGGATGATCTCTATAGCGCGTTACTCCAAACGAGACAGGATATTGGAGGAAACATTGGCACCCTGAAGGAACCTCTTCGGCACCTTAGCAACGCCAAGACAACTGGTGACATACAAAAATATCTTCAAGAATTTTCCATCGAATTCCACAAGCTTTTTTTGTTGTTTGAAAAGCTGGCCGGTTTTACATCGTGCGCTTTGAGTATAGGCATAGAAACAGGGGAATTGGGTGGGCTCAGATGGCATATAACCTCTTTCTGGGAAGATTACGGACATATACAGCAGATCATGTACACATGCTCATTATGTCGTCAGTTGCAAGATGCTAGGCTTCGTCAAGGGGTAGAGTACCTTCTGGAACAGATGGGTGATTTACAAGTTGTTTGTGAAGAACGCAACGACCAACTGAAGCAAGACCTGCTCCATAGTGCATATTAATATGTTTTATCAATAAAAATCTCAACTCATCCAAAACGATCCCAAATCTCCAAGCAACACACCCAGAGCGATTAGGCCGTTGCTTGGTGGAAATGCTGTTGGAGAATGTAAATGAATGGTGTCATACCGTACATAAGCAAATGCCGCCAACCCTCCTGTACCTTCGTGGCTTATTGGGTATGGATGGCCATGCACATATTGATTCCCAGTTGGGTTGGGCGAAGCGAAGATCTGAACAAATTGTTCATGGTCTCTGTGCTAACAAATTCCAGGAGCTCAATCCGACGCGGTCAAGGTAAGGCTGGCTTGCACTCAGGACCTTGTTGTGTCTCTTGCTAGATTCCATAAAGAGAGGTCTTGTACCCACCCTTCTCCCATCTTGTTCTCTACATACGTCGGAAACGACGCTAGCCGGCATGGGATCACAGAACCCCAATCTCAACCATCTCCTTGGCCCCCGTTCCAAAAGAGTTTTTAGCTGCTTTCTAGTTTTTAACCTTCCTTTTATCGTGCTTAGCGTTGTCTTTTGGGCAGTTGCAATAGCCGCAGTGTGGTTGTCTGCCCAGTTGGTTAAATTATTTTCTCAGCCGCAAAGAGCAAAGAGAAAACGGGATTGAACAAAAGTTGTTATATCCAAATCCTCGAAGCTCTCGCAACCAACGGTTTACCCGGGAAGATAGCATGCGCCGTCATGTACGCGAGGGAGAGAGGACGGGGATCGCTGCTACAGAGTTGAGGTACAGACCTCAGCCTCCGTTCCAGAGCCATGTCAATTTTCCACAAAGGGTAAGGCCAAGAAGCTCTATCGACGCCAGATCAATGGAACTAATCGGAATATGAAGGCATATATCACAGGACTACCCATTGAACTGAAACAGCAGATTGCGGGCCACCTGAACACCAGAGAGGTGGACGAATTGGTGAAAACAGCAGGGTGGGAGACCAGCCCGTCAGCGGATGAAAGCATCGCACGCTTGCTATCTCAATTGGGCAGCCTTAGGTCATTTCACCTTAACCACCTTCATGGCGAGGTGCATCTAGCCGCCTTTAACTTTGCCACGCTGCCAACCCTCACCACGCTCAAAGTGCCGGCGGAATCCCTAGTATCGCGTCAATCGCCACTAATCAATCATCTGCCTCCCGCATTGGAATGTCTTTACGTGAAAGAGGAGAACGACGAAGCAAACGAAGACACCTTGCCCCAATTGCTGATAGACTATATCACCGCAGCTTCAGCAGAATTAAAACTGGTATCCATTCAATCATCTGCCGAATATTGGGAAGGAGCCAACTTGTTGGTCAACGCGTGTAAGAATTGTGGAGTGAAGCTAGAACTTCAATACCGAGGATGGCGTGAAGTCTGGGGTTTAGGCTATGTGCCGATTCTGAAAACATGGAACTGATAAGTGAATAGGGGAAGCGAAAGAGGTTCCGTCACTGGTTGTAACATGGGTTGCAGGATGCTGGTTGATATAGAAGCCTGATGCGAATTCCTTATTTCGTGTTGTTTACTCGTCGCATTTTCTGTCGTACATGCCTGTTTGTTCTTGGTTGATGAATTTGTTAAGTTAAAGAAAATGATTGGTTACCCAAAAATAGAATCTTCCCGCTTTGCGCCCAATGAAAAAATTGGCGCCTGGAAAATTAGAATTCCGGATGCAAGAAAATCCAAGCTACACTTCATTCAGATCACAGTCTTTCTGGAAATTTCCCTCGCTCCTATTATCTGATATTTATTGAATATATTCTCGACACTTTATTGCTGACCCGGGAAACTATACACGGCTAGAATCAAGGGATGGGTTCACGTGGCTTGTACGGGTCCCAATAACCGCCTTGCTGCATATTTCGTTGGAAGATGGCCCCTGGAGCAAATACTGAGTTATGTCTCTCTTTTGCTTTGATGATCACCACCAGCCCGTTGCCCTGTGCATATGCAGGCCGGCCATCTATGCATGGGAGGAAGTTGCTCCTGTAGGAGCATATGAACTTACACGCTTGTGCCTGTATGTTTGGCACCGGCGCCTCATTTGATGGCCTGGCTCCGGCAGAGAGAGATTTTAGAAATATAGGCTCTTACCATAATACGGGTTATCCTTCAAAAAGACGCAAGCCTGAAGACCCACAATCACCGTTCCGAGATATATTGCAAGTAGCTGAACCATCCGGAACGGCGCTCCAGAACAGGGAAAGAAACCAAAACATCGTGTCTGGCCGCATTGTTCCCGAAGGATAACGATATCATTCAGCATGCGATGGAATCGGAGGCGGCTCCTTCGATGTGTTGCCGGCCTGTATTTACTATCTGATGCCTGTTTGATTTTCTTTTGTACAGTTTGTTCCTGGTTGTACTTTGTTAAATCAAAGCAAAATGATTGGTTACTCAAAAATAGAACGTCCTTGCTTTTGCCGGAAAATTAGAAATTCCGGGCGCTGGATGAATTCTGCTCAGTTGTAGGAAGCTATCTGATTTT